CAGTTCATTGTCTTCTGCAAACTCCTCAGGGTGGGGGGCGGGGAGGGGGTAGAAAACCAGGTGCCTAATTCACGCAGGCCCTAGAGTGGCTGGGTGGCAGTGCGTCCCGCGCTCCTCCCAGTCCAGGGTGGAGACGGCCCGGGGAAGCGGCTGTGTGGGACCCTATGGCGCTTGCCAGTGGCAGTGGTGGCACGGCGAGTCATAATGACTCCCTTCTCTCCAACGATGACAAGAGTCTCCTTGCTTCACAGGAAGCACATGAAATCTGGCCTCGCCTCCAGAGATTTGGGGTTGAAAACCTGACAGTTTAGACATACAGCCCGTGGGCGATGTTTCCCTTCTCCGGGGCTGTGTCTGTGCCAGGAATTCCTAACAAAGGGGGGGAAAGGATTAATTAATTTAAAAAAAAAACATAAAAAATGTTCAGGAAACTGACTCATAAGAAACTGTCCCTTTTTTCTCCTTGGTAGCGATCAAAACGTCGCGAGTTCCTGCACACATATTTTACAGAGGTTTCATAATCTTCCAGCGGTGATTCTTCCTATAAGGAAGGTCCCTTGGGAAGTCATTGAGGCCTCCTCACTACATGTATTCCAGAGAAAATTGGATGGAACACTTAGAGGGGGGAGGAGGAGGGAGGGGAGGAGGGTGGGGAGGAGGAGGAGGCGGGGGGAGCCCGTGGACCAAGTTCACTGCCAAGGGCAGAGGCACGGAAGACCCCTTTTCCTGGAAATTCCTAAAAATTTCCAAACTGTCTTTCACTTCAAGGGCCCAAATCATCTCTTTGTGCATCTTTTTATTCTCTTATCTATTTCTAGTGGCAAATAGGAGACTTTTTTTTTTTTTTGGCACCAGATCTTTAAAAGTCGAGGGAGGAAGAAAGAAAAAAAGCAACCATCAAACAACAACATCAACCATCAACAATCAGCAAGCCAAGCAAACAAACAATCAAAAAAAAAAAAATCACCCTAAATCCCAAGATTTTTTTTTTTTCTGTTTTGTTTTGTTTTGAAGATTTTCCTGGGCAATAGGACAGTTGCATTTCATCAAGGAGGGTGGCCGGGGCTGGGGGGGTCCGACTTTGGTGCTCATGCCCGTCCCTGGGGGAGCTTGTTAAGACCGCAGGTTCCCCAGGCCTGCACCCCTGAGAGGGAGGGTATGGGGGGGCACGAATCTGCGTTTTTAATAAGCCCTTGGGAGGCTCTGCTCAAGCCAGTCCCAGGACCACACTTTGAGAAATAATGAGCTTCAGGTTTTTTCAGCTCTCAGCAAATCATAGATGTGAAAAATCCACATTTAAA